GGCGAGCCTCCGACGAGGACCTTACTCTGCTCCCGTCAGACGACTCAAACCCATCCTTGGACCTTCACAGGCTTCACCCCATCAGGTAAAATTTTTAAACTAAATAATTTTAGGGTTTTTTGGATAGAAATTTGGGGTTTTAATGTTTTGCAATGAATTTAAGATTTTTGATTTTGAATCTTGGTTGAATCTTACTATCTTAGTTGTTGAAGAATTAAATTAGGGGTTATGATGTTTTGGAATGAAATTAGGGTTTGTTTTAACAATAATGATATTGCTAATTGGGCAATTAGAAAGATAAGGGGTCTGTCCGCAAGTAACCCTTGAAAATTTTCAATTTTAAACCTGTCAATTTTATGGGTGATGCTTTTCTTGAAGAAATTGACAAAGCTATGAAGGAACATGGGATGATTGGCTACAAATGTAGAGTGGGCAGCCTTGCCTTTTTCAACTTTGAGATCTTATTCTGATTATGATTTCTTATGAGTTGTTAATTGTTATGCAAGTCTCTATTCTCTCTCCCCACTTTTTTGTCTTTCATACTGTTTTCATATGATTGAAGAAATTGAAAATGAATACTTGGAGAAACTTGAGTATAATGACTTAATTAAAGAATTCGTTTCAAAAAATTCAAGGAGAAGTATTTTTCTTTGAATTAAATTGTAGCACAAATGTAATCTCTTCTTATATGAATATTGATTTTGCATGAGAATATTTTCAGTTTGAGCCCAATATATAACGCTAAATTGTATTATATATATTCATTTTTATCGTTATTGATCGTACCAAATTTTAATATAAGGGGCAACCAAAATTGGATTGGGCTAGGGCAACCCAAAGTTCGGGGCCGGCCCTGCTCCGTCGGCAAGTCGCCAAACTAGTTCCTCGGTCGGTTGTTCCGCAAATACTATCCTTTTCAGGGACTCTTCTGTAAAAACTGAAGTCTATAAATTTCAGAAGCGAGTCCCTCATTTCGTCCCCTTTCGTTTTTGTTTGCGCTTTCAGCGACGGTTTTCTCTTCGATCCATCAGTATTTGTTCTCAATCGATCAATGGCAGACCGTGGTAATTTTCTCCGTATTCTCAATTTCATCAGTTTCTGTTTCTGTGTCTTAAATTTTTTACTTTCGTTCTTAATTTCAGGTGAAAGAGGTCGGCCGTCCAAAAAGCACAAGTCCTCGTCAAAAGTGAGTAATTAGTTTGAAATTCATAAAAATCGAAAAAAAAATTGATTCTTCCTTTAAATCCCCCCCCCCCCCCCCCCCCTCCTTTTAGGCCGCTCAGGTTGTGGAAGAAGAAGAGCTCTATTTCGGAGAAGATTCGGATGATGATAGGCGACGAGGTATTTGTCTTTTGTTTTTTTTTTCAAAATTGCTGTCCATTTTCTTGTGAAATTTTGGATTTTTTGGGGGGGCTGAATTGGAAAATTTGGGGTTTTGGTGGATGAAGGAGAGACGAAGAAGAATGACTTCACGAAGCTTGAGTTGAAGCCTGATCACGTAAACAGGCCCCTTTGGGCGTGCGGCGACGGCAGGATATTTCTTGAGACGTTTTCTCCTTTGTATAAACAGGCTTATGACTTCCTCATTGCCATTGCTGAGCCAGTGTGCAGGTGATTTTGTTGGCACTTCTTAAATTTGATGTGGGTTTCATCATTTGTAGTTGAAGTGGATGGAGCACTGCTTTAAATTAATATTTTACTGATTTTAGATGGTTTTGCTTCAGATTTGACATTGGTTTTCATTGCTTAGGGTTTAATCATAGTGTTCTGATAAGAACTCACCCCCAAAAAGTAGTTGTCTAGGGAGGAATCCCAAATCTCTCATAAATCCACAATTGACTCTCGAGTTAATGAATTTGGGACTGAAATGAACCCTAGCCTACAATCCCGCTTCTGCAGGTCACGCGTGACTGGCTCTGCACTAGTCTAGTCCTAGTTGAACGTTGCAATCTCAGTCTTTTGCCCGTGAACACTCCAATGCTGAGGTCACCACTCATGCCTCTTGTTTGCGAGTGAGAAGGTTTGACTCTGATGCCATCTGTAGGAGACGCTCATCCCTAAAAGCTAAAATCTAGAAATTAGAGAGAGGGAATCTAGATCTCATATAAAACCACAATAGATTACCCATTTAGTTAATATGGGACTAACTAGACCATAACATAGTCTGTCTATGCATGCTTTCAATCTGATTACATTGTTTTCGCGGAGTTTGCTGGCTTCCTCTGAAAAAGTAAGATTTATTTTTATCTAGTCAATTTGATATAGATTACAGCTAACACATGACTGTGAACTTCCAGAATGTTTACTACTATTGATTTATTTTTATCAGTGCCAAGTGCATTAGTACCATAAGAATTAGGATCGAAACATTTTGCAGTTCCATTGTGGTCATAATATACATTCGTCGCACCATATAATCTAGCAAATATATCGGCCCTTGTTGCAGGGTTGTCTATTGCCTCACACATCTGCAACAGTTTTCAGGTCTATATTTTCACTTGTGGTTAAGTACGAAAAATGCTAGCAGTCATTTGGCTGATGACCTTTTCCACAGGATGAGCAGGCAATGAGTTGAGGAAATTTGAAGCTGTTGGATAATTTGTCATCGCGACACAGATTAATTAGTGCGTACTGCATCCAATTCTTGATGGAGATTGCTAAATTTGCATCTGAAACAACTCCTCTATTAGTGATAAATTCATTAAATCAATTGTTGTCAATGATAGAAGATGAGATGTGCTTCTCACTTGCGTATCTTAGAAGATTTTGTGAGTTTCTTAACTCCATCCTTTTGGCTGGCTATCTTATATAATGCATCCTATTAGTTCTTTAGCACCTTATAGCAATTTTCACTCTCACTCTAGTAGGAAAAAAGAAGAAATTTCGGTGATATAGAGTTCTTCGTAAACAACTTTAAATATTGGTTATGGAAAGAGAGACCCTGAAATCATTTGAAACAATGTTATCAAAGATGTATGGGGAGATTGTTGTTATTTGACTTAGCATATGAAGATAAAACCCACCTACCTCCCTACATTCATGCCCAACTATTCCCTAACCTAACTCCCTATCACACCAACCATTAGCAATTTTATATTAATATTGGAAGGTTATAAATGGAGGAGTGGAGAAGGGTGAATGCATCAGACAGAGAGCGATCGAAGTTAGAGAGAAGAGAGAGAGACAGAGAGAGAGGGAGTTAGTTTCTTTCTTTGTGTGATTCTTTGGTGGGGTTTAGAGAATGATCTCTTTTGTAATATTCTCTTTTGTGATTAGTGAAGTTCTATACTGTTCTCGCTCGTGGACGTAGGTCATACTAATCGAACCACGTTAAATCCTTGTGTGCTGTTCTCTTTGTCTTCACTGTGTTTATTCAGTGTTATTATTATCCACTTTTGTAGAGAGCCTGTGTTGTGCTTGGATATGCAAGAGTAATTGCATTCTTAAAAGCCAAAACTTTGTCACCTCCAAAAGGAATTGACTGTCCATAGTAATTATGCTGCAAAATTTAAGCACCAAATCAGTTAGTTGAGAAGGATGTAAAGCTCAATGAGGTTTATATTGCAAACTCTCAAGTCAAAAGCCAAGTTGGTTCAAGCGCAAGCGAAGTGTTGAGAGATGGTCAACGAACAAACATTTTCATTAAAACAATTCAAAATTGCATAGCTTATGCCCAGGCATACCTGAGCTAATAGTTTTTCTCTTGACACGTCAGTCTAGTGACAGTGTCATATAAACAAGAACTGAGCGCATAACCCTTGACAAAAGTATCAAAATCACTCAAAACTACCACATCACAGTATCCGCATTAATACAAAAAAAAAAGCCTCTTCGAGTTTTTCAAAGACAAAGACTCCATCCTCAAAATTTCAATTGGAAAGGCATTTTACAATAATACAAGGATCAACACCTTAATTTATTTATTTACAACCTGCTCATGATTCTTCTTAACAAAATTACGAATTCTAGCATTCATTTCCATCCAAATGAGCTATACAGCAGCAACTAAAGCCAGCCTTTTCACTGTCCATGACGATATGTACACTATGAATCTCCTCGTACTAAAAAATTAAGATACGCGAAAACAAAATTTTAACATTCGATCTTCTCTCTTTGATATTTGATATTTCCACTAATAACAAAAATAAATAAATAAATAAATAAAAATAAAAATAAAATAAAATTCATGATTCACAAAAAAAGTTCATGATTCTTTTTGATTCTATAAAGAGAGAGTAGTGTTCCAAATCTTCCATTGCTTCTTTTGATTAAGGAGTTAGTAGTGATCCAAAATTCCAATAACAATGCGATATAAACAAAACCTATTCCAAGTTCAGAATTCATCAATTGTTTTACAACTACAATGCAAATTTCAGTTGATAATAAAAATTCCAAATACAATCTATGGTTGCACACTCAATCTATAATTTTGGAATTTTGACTAAAAATAAAAAACAAAAAACAAATACCTCGTCGCCTATCTAGATTCATAGTATTACAACAATTGTAATTGTATGATCATCATATATTCGGATATTTTGGATACGGATCTAGATATTTCACTATAGAATCATATTCGTAACCGCATCCTATCGGTTATAATTTTTACTAATCATATTTGTATCCTAATGTACACGGATACAAATATATCGACGAATACAGATATCTTTTGTGCACCCCTACTTGGAAGTCTGAGGCGTCAAAGGGAAGATACAATCTGGTACGATCTCGTTTGCGTTAAACCAAAAATAGAATAGATCCCCAATACCTAGAATTCCAAAGAATGGAATTCAAATAGAGATTGGTTTTTAACCAAAAATAGAATAGATCCCCAATACCTAGAATTCCAAAGAATGGAATTCAAATAGAGATTGGTTTTTAATATTAGAATACGAACAGTAAAAACTTAATTCCGAATCGAATATCGTGTTTTTCGTTTCAATTCGGCTGGCCTCCGTCGCAGGGCCGACCCTGGGGTAAGCCCACCAAGCCCCGGGGCTGGGGCAACCCAGGGCCGGGGGGCAACCCATCCCGACCACTCGTATACCCCTCAAACTGTAATTTTCTTTGATTTTTGAAGTAGACTTTGTAAGAGGGCTTTAATGCAAAAAATGTTAGAGGTTGTATTTGTAAAATAACTCTAATGACCCTACCCAACCTTTCAGCACTCATTCCCAATTTCCCGTCTCTAACTCTCTGTTCCGCTCACAAAAAAAAAAAAAGAAAAAATAAGAAAGAGAGAAAACCTCCTCACCTCCGGTCCTCCTTCCCGAGCCGGCGGCTCCTCTCCTCCTTCCCAGGCGAGCCTCCGACGAGGACCTTACTCTGCTCCCGTCAGACGACTCAAACCCATCCTTGGACCTTCACAGGCTTCACCCCATCAGGTAAAATTTTTAAACTAAATAATTTTAGGGTTTTTTGGATAGAAATTTGGGGTTTTAATGTTTTGCAATGAATTTAAGATTTTTGATTTTGAATCTTGGTTGAATCTTACTATCTTAGTTGTTGAAGAATTAAATTAGGGGTTATGATGTTTTGGAATGAAATTAGGGTTTGTTTTAACAATAATGATATTGCTAATTGGGCAATTAGAAAGATAAGGGGTCTGTCCGCAAGTAACCCTTGAAAATTTTCAATTTTAAACCTGTCAATTTTATGGGTGATGCTTTTCTTGAAGAAATTGACAAAGCTATGAAGGAACATGGGATGATTGGCTACAAATGTAGAGTGGGCAGCCTTGCCTTTTTCAACTTTGAGATCTTATTCTGATTATGATTTCTTATGAGTTGTTAATTGTTATGCAAGTCTCTATTCTCTCTCCCCACTTTTTTGTCTTTCATACTGTTTTCATATGATTGAAGAAATTGAAAATGAATACTTGGAGAAACTTGAGTATAATGACTTAATTAAAGAATTCGTTTCAAAAAATTCAAGGAGAAGTATTTTTCTTTGAATTAAATTGTAGCACAAATGTAATCTCTTCTTATATGAATATTGATTTTGCATGAGAATATTTTCAGTTTGAGCCCAATATATAACGCTAAATTGTATTATATATATTCATTTTTATCGTTATTGATCGTACCAAATTTTAATATAAGGGGCAACCAAAATTGGATTGGGCTAGGGCAACCCAAAGTTCGGGGCCGGCCCTGCTCCGTCGGCAAGTCGCCAAACTAGTTCCTCGGTCGGTTGTTCCGCAAATACTATCCTTTTCAGGGACTCTCCGTCGGCAAGTCGCCAAACTAGTTCCTCGGTCGGTTGTTCCGCAAATACTATCCTTTTCAGGGACTCTTCTGTAAAAACTGAAGTCTATAAATTTCAGAAGCGAGTCCCTCATTTCGTCCCCTTTCGTTTTTGTTTGCGCTTTCAGCGACGGTTTTCTCTTCGATCCATCAGTATTTGTTCTCAATCGATCAATGGCAGACCGTGGTAATTTTCTCCGTATTCTCAATTTCATCAGTCTCTGTTTCTGCGTCTTAAATTTTTTGCTTTCGTTCTTAATTTCAGGTGAAAGAGGTCGGCCGTCCAAAAAGCACAAGTCCTCGTCAAAAGTGAGTAATTAGTTTGAAATTCATAAAAATCGAAAAAAAAATTGATTCTTCCTTTAAATCCCCCACCTTCCCCCCCTCCTTTTAGGCCGCTCAGGTTGTCGAAGAAGAAGAGCTCTATTTCGGAGAAGATTCGGATGATGATAGGCGACGAGGTATTTGTCTTTTGTTTTTGTTTTTTTCAAAATTGCTGTCCATTTTCTTGTGAAATTTTGGATTTTTTTTTTTTTTGGGGGGGGGGGGGGGGGAATGTGGTGGATGAAGGAGAGACGAAGAAGAACGACTTCACGAAGCTTGAGTTGAAGCCTGATCACGTTAACAGGCCCCTTTGGGCGTGCGGCGACGGCAGGATATTTCTTGAGACGTTTTCTCCTTTGTATAAACAGGCTTATGACTTCCTCATTGCCATTGCTGAGCCAGTGTGCAGGTGATTTTGTTGGCACTTCTTAAATTTGATGTGGGTTTCATCATTTGTAGTTGAAGTGGATGGAGCACGGCTTTAGATTAATATTTTACTGATTTTAGATGGTTTTGCTTCAGATTTGACATTGGTTTTCATTGCTTAGAGTTTAATCATAGTGTTCTGATAAGAACTCACCCCTAAAAAGTAGTTGTCTAGGGAGGAATTCCAAATCTCTCATAAATCCACAATTGACTCTCGAGTTAATGAGTTTGGGACTGAAATGAACCCTAGCCTACAATCCCGCCTCTGCAGGTCACGCGTGACTGGCTCTGCACTAGTCTAGTCCTAGTTGAACGTTGCAATCTCAGTCTTTTGCCCGTGAACACTCCAATGCTGAGGTCACCACTCATGCCTCTTGTTTTCGAGTGAGAAGGTTTGACTCTGATGCCATCCGTAGGAGACGCTCATCCCTAAAAGCTAAAAGCTAGAAATTAGAGAGAGGGAATCTAGATCTCATATAAAACCACAATAGATTACCCATTTAGTTAATATGGGACTAACTAGACCATAACATAGTCTGTCCATGCATGCTTTCAATCTGATTACATTGTTTTCGCGGAGTTTGCTGGCTTCCTCTGAAAAAGTATGATTTATTTTTATCTAGTCAATTTGATATAGATTACAGCTATCACATGACTGTGAACTGTATTGTGGTTGCTCTTCTTGTAGCATTATATGTAGTTTAAGTAATTCAGGGTTTTGTGTGGTGTTGCTGAATGATTGTGGCCTTTTGTCCAGTGGAGGGATGCTCCCACTTAGTTATCTCTTAGTTCGCCACGATATCCATTCAATATTTTTGAGTAATTTGGAATTTCAGTTTATGCATGATCATGTATCTAGATTCTCTTTTAACGAATATCTCTTTTATGACAGGAGTCTCTAATCCAGTTAATTTGTGATACTTTTATTTAAGGAACTTATTTTTTAAGCTAAGTAAGTGCATCTTCATATGTTGGCTTACTTGATTTTAAGAAAAAGATATCTGGATTTTTATTTGTTTCTGAATGATTGTGGCCTTTTGTCCAGTGGAGGGATGCTCCCACTTAGTTATCTCTTAGTTCGCCATGATATCCATACAATATTTTTGAGTAATTTGGAATTTCAGTTTATGCATGATCATGTATCTAGATTCTCTTTTAACGAATATCTCTTTTATGACATGAGTCTCTATTCCAGTTAATTTGTGATACTTTTATTTAAGGAACTTATTTTTTAAGCTAAGTAAGTGCATCTTCATATGTTGGCTTACTTGATTTTAAGAAAAAGATATCTGGATTTTTATTTGTTTCACTTTGGAAGTTTTTTTCCTTTTGTGAAATATTTTGGTTCATACTAGACGCCATGCATGAATTATCTAATGCTATAGTTCATATGCAATTTAAAGGCTCTTATTGAGATTCTTCTTTATTTTGATATATTTGTTGTATCACTTTGAACACCTTAGGTCTTAGGTATAGTATATGGGAGCAGTTGCAAATGTCCTACCTGAGTTCATACTGGGTCCTAACACTTCTTACCCTTGATCTTGGTTTCTCTTATCTTGCAGTTATTTTATTTGTTTGATCAAGTTGTCTGCACCATGGTGGAACCTTTGATGTTGCTTTTTAATTCAAAAATATTTGATTAATTTTGAAGATATATGACACAAATTATGAATGTTAAAAAGTTATTTTTTAGCCATTAATTAATTTTTGAACTGTTGAAAAGTTCATACATGTCGAAAATATGTAATGAGCATACCATGTGGTTTCTATAAAATTTAGAATCTTTTACGAGATGCTTGGTTGTTATTTGTTATTAACATTGTTTGTTTTATGTGTTTGATGGAAATAATGCTTCTTGTTGTTAATGTAGTATTTCTTATTTAACTTTATGATATATGTTTTCCATGTTCCAACTAAATGGCAAGAAAGTTTCACATGCTATTCGTCACTTTAGACTTAAATCTTCTTTCAAAAGGTTTAACACTCCTGTCCTGGATAAAGAATTTATAACCCCCATCTGAACTAATCTTGAATATAAACCATGGTTAACATTCTTGTTAATCTGGATGTAGGCCAGAGTCTATGCATGAGTACAACCTAACACCTCATTCTCTCTATGCTGCTGTGTCGGTTGGGCTTGAGACCGAGACAATCATAAATGTCTTAAACAAGCTATCAAAGACTAAGTTGCCGAAGGAGATGATAGATTTCATCCATGCTTCCACCGCCAATTATGGGAAAGTGAAACTCGTGTTGAAAAAGAATCGATACTTTGTGGAGTCACCTTTTCCGGAGGTACCATTCTGAACCTAGTGTTTTAACTTCATTTTTTGGTATAATTAGCGATTTATTGCTTTACTTGCTTAATGATGAAGTTCATTTGGTACTGTAGGTGCTGAAGACATTGCTTAGGGATGATGTCATATCTCGTGCGAGGATTTGTTTTGAGGTATATTGCTTCCATGAAAACATACTTTATAATGCCTTTCTCAAAATTTAAGATGATAGTATGATACCAATTAACTTGAGAATATTTTATTTTTATTTCTGGAAACTATGTATTATCAATTGTCATTTTAGAACTATATGATATCCACCTATAGACCATTGTTTTAATATATTGCTTGTGGGGGAGTCTGATTTTACCATCAGATTGATGTTGGTCATGATTAGGTTAATTTTAAACATTTTGCTTTCTACTTTGATTCTTGGATCCATCATGCGGGGAATTTTCTGATACAGTTGACTTTTCAATCAATTTTAAATTATTATATACTATGTTAGGTTTTCAATTGGTTCTTTTCACTTTGAAGCCTGTCAAAAGGACTATGGTCTGTCCATGTGGAGCCCTCCCTCTCTTGGTGCAGATTCCATGTAACCATCAGCACATGAAGGGTAGGGTCTGTCCATGTGGAGCCCTCCCTCTCTTGGTGCAGATTCCATGTAACCATCAGCACATGAAGGGTAGGCTTTCAATCTTAGTGGTCTACTTGGCGTATCCTTCTGATGTGCACTCTTAAGGTTGTGCAAAGGAGCAATCCCTTAACTTCCTATCTGAAGGAGGATCTACATTAAGGGGAAATATGAAATTTATTATAGGGAGTTACACTAATCTCTAGGAGACAAATAAATCCAAAGATCTATAATATCTTGATTAATTTTGTGGGATATATTGAAACAAATTTGCTCAGCATTTGTTACCATTTTAGCGGATCACTTTGCATGGAGTAGTGGATGTCATTCTCTTAATCTTCATTAAGGTTAAAATATTTATTGAATGGTTTGTAACTTTGTGTTAGGGAACCTACTTAAGCCTTTTGCAAGGAGAAGAGGCTAATATAGTCTCATGGTTGTCTATATATACTACCTGTGATATCAACTATTTTTGTACAGCTACTTTCCTGAAACAAAAAAAAAAGAGGGAAAAAAAAATCTTATGTTTACATTTCCCCCTCTTTCTGGAGCATACTTTGTTCCAATTTATAATTTATGTGTTGACCTGAAAGGCATTGTGCTTAGTGGATTCTTATTTTCATCCTTTTTATTTCCATTTGATAAATTTGGCTGTGTAAAATTCCAGAAACCCTGTAAATCTGAGAATGTAACATATTTTCTATGTCCCTGTCTGTTGTCTGTAATGAAACTTGGTTGTCACACTGAAGATGAAAATTGTTCTTCATATGATGATGTATCAGATATACTGTTGTTTCTGATTCTTCCATGGGTAATGACTTGAAGTTTACACTTTGTTTATCTATACGAATTTCTCTCATTTGAAGTATTCCATTTTGGTTTTGGAGTTCTTACAAATGTGGTTGGTGCAAGTATAAATCTTTACCCCTTTTTGTTCTTTCGTTTGCATTGTTTAGATTTAAGCTTTATCCTTGGAGCTGCTTGCCAATAATCATGTATCTTGTCTTCCCCCTCCTTGATTTCACCAACTGCGAAGTGTTGAATAATGTTGGTGAAAATGGTTGTTTCTTCCCTTTCTCTGTAATTTATATTTCTTTTTGTGAACCTATTTCAGGGTCATCATGAAGGTGGTTCATTTACAATTAGCAAAACGGCTGGAGAAATAGAAGGTGGCCATGATGAGTTGCTGAATGGTGTAGACTTAGCTGCTGCTGCGGAAGAGAAAGAAACACATTCCTTTGAAATTGATCCTGCCCAGGTACTTTGTTCTTTGCATTACAAGGAACCAGCTATGTTTAATATACTTAAAATGTCTCTTGGGAAATTATTTCGCATTACAGGTTGAGAATGTGAAGCAAAGATGTTTGCCTAACGCCTTAAATTATCCTATGCTGGAGGAGTATGATTTTAGAAATGATACGGTGAGTTATACTTTCCGTCTATGATATTATTGTAATAAGTATTTGATAAGAGGGCTTATACTTGCAATGCATAACTTCCTTTCTATGCATGTAGCAACGAAATGTTCATGTAATATACTGATTGGTTCTATGCTTTGTATTTGTGTGGAAAGCTGATCAATTCAGAAAATTTTTGTAAAGGCGATGCTTATGTCATGAGAATATATACATGCTGCAATTAGATTTAGCAATTAATAAGATTTGTTCTCCTGTTGTCATTTTTCCATATGAATACAATTTCAGGCCATACTGAATTAAACAATATGTTTCATTCTGTAATTTGGTCCTCGCAGGTGAACCCAGACTTGAACATAGAATTGAAACCGCAAGCACAACCTAGACCATATCAAGAAAAGAGTCTCAGCAAGATGTTTGGGAATGGTATTTACTTCACTGCGTGACTTCCTACATTCATGTTCACACTCATGATAATATTTTGCAGCCATCTTGTGATAGGTTTTGTCCCCTTCTCTTCTCTCCTTTTGGACTTAAAAAATCGAACCTAGGTTCACAGTGGGATTAAGGACACAAATGAGGTGCATTAAGAGCATTTTAGCTGAACCTTCCTCTGCACTGGCTCTAAATAATGAAAATTTCTTCCTCTTGAAGAAAATTACTGAGGGTAGTAGTTTTGGTGAATGGGGATGGAGATTGCTTTCCCAGGTCAGATAATAAAATAATTGGTGTATGTGCAGACTTGAAAACCTTGGAAAGGATGTGCAGTGACATCAGAAGCTCAATATAAGTTCATGTAGCTAAATTTTAGCTTGGATGGCATCAAATGGCTCGTAATGGGCCTTAGTAAATCACCTAATTGCTGCATTTGCAGGATTTGGAGTAAAATTTGACCAGTTATATTATGTAGCTTAAAGATCAACTATCTCAAAAATCTTTCTAAAATTCTGTCCGGTTTCGTATCAACATTGTTGTGTTTTAGACTATAATATCTTTGGAAGACCTATTATCTGTATATTATTGTGTATTTCAGCAACTTCATGAGATGTTTTATCTTGAATAAAGGCTTATGGATTGTATGTCGGCTTATAGTTTTACATGCAGTCTTGCTTGAAGGATTTGGATAATGTTAATTTGTAGGAAGAGCAAGGTCTGGCATTATTGTTTTGCCTTGTGGTGCTGGAAAGTCTTTGGTTGGTGTCTCTGCGGCATGTCGAATTAAGAAGAGCTGTCTTTGCTTAGCTACCAACGCGGTCTCTGTGGATCAATGGGCTTTCCAGTTTCAGCTTTGGTCTAATATAAAGGACGAACATATTTGTCGGTTTACATCTGATAACAAAGAAAGATTTCGTGGCAATGCTGGTGTGGTTGTCACCACTTACAACATGGTTGCATTTGGTGGAAAAAGGTCTGAAGATTCTGAGAAAATCATTGAAGAAATAAGAAATAGAGAATGGGGTTTGCTTCTTATGGACGAGGTGAAGATCTTTCTTGAGAAGATCACTAGATAAATTTGTCTCACAAGATAACATGTGAAACATTACTTATGACAACTCGTTTTGACACCATATAACATTTTCCTTGACTTTTCTTACTGATTTTGTTAAATTTTGATGTATACCAAAATACTGATGTCTACGTATATGCCTTCACAGGTGCACGTTGTTCCTGCACACATGTTCCGGAAGGTCATTAGCATTACTAAGTCTCATTGCAAGCTTGGACTTACTGGTTAGTGCTTCCCAGACTGAGGTCACATTTCATTTTTGTTTCCTGTTTACCTTTTTTGTATTATTCTGCTTTTTCTGATCGCCTCTTTACATTTTCAACAGCAACACTAGTGAGAGAGGACGAACGTATCACAGATCTCAACTTTCTTATAGGACCAAAATTGTATGAAGCTAATTGGTTGGATTTGGTAAAAGGAGGGTTCATAGCTAACGTTCAGTGTGCTGAAGTGTGGTGCCCCATGACGAAGGAATTCTTTGCAGAGTATTTGAAAAGGGAAAATTCTAAAAAGAAGCAGGTAAATGTTATACTACGATCTAGGAATCTCATCCCAAGGTATTGAATTTGGAAGTCTATAGTATATTTTTATGGAGACTTGAAGACCGTGGGACTCGCATTATTGTATTGTGGCTCAGATATGAAAGTGATGCTCTGAATTTTTTTTTATCTTTCCCCTTTGTATACCTTTCCCTCGCATAGAATGTTAAAAAGTTTGCCATCATGGTTTCATGGTTTGAGATAATTTGATGAACATGAATTTCCCTTGTGGTTCATCAAAGTCTTCCATTGCTCGTAGTTAGCTTTGCTAGTAGTACTGGATGCAAGTGGAAGCTTGTTCACTGTGCTGTTACCAGGCTACAAGTTTTTTGTTCTAGTTCTTTTGTGTCATTCTCTCCTTGATCTTTGAATAGGAAAGAGGCTTATGTTCAGATAATTGATCATAGTGATGGTCTATGGATAGAACCGAGTACATTACCTGTCTTAGGCAGCCATCTGGTACCTTCCTTTTGAATTCAAACTTCTGATCATCATAGTGTTTCTGTCAGTAGTGTGTGATCTGTGTTTGGTGTCATCTTATATATGCGTAGCACCTTGACTAGTTTTGCAGTTATAAGATTGCTTATACAGGATTCTTTAAAACTTTTTCAACAAGCTTTGAAGATTTTCCTCTGATGGATACGTTGAATAGTGAATGTAATTGTTTTGACATAATATAGGTTTTGTAGCATTGAAGGAAATTAATACACTACTGGGTTCGAGGGTTCTTCCATGCTTTTGAGAATATAGAGCGGAAGAAGATAAGGTAGAAAAGTGAAAGATTAAGATTCAGTCTTTAACACAGGTCAAGTTTTTTGCCGCACAATCTAATTACTTTTACTAATTTTGTCTTCTTGTACTAGATCTAGAACTAGAGAGTGGAGAACCTATATAGACCTTTGTATCAACTTCCAAGGCGTCATGAATTAGTGTTTAAATCAATCTGGTTTGATCTAATTTTGCAAACGATTCATCACGACATTGACAGTCATGATACTCATTTCCCTTGTTTCTTTTGGATATCCTGGTAGAAGAATTATAGGTTTTGTAGCATTGAAGAAAATTAACACACAACTGGGTTCGAGGGTTCTTCCATACTTATGAGAATATGGAGAGAAGGGAGAAAAGTAATAGAGTGAGATTCAGTCTTTAACTCAGGTCAAGTTTTTTGTTACACAATTTGATTACTTTTACCATTAGTAACTAGTTATTAGATTGTGTGACAAAAAACTTGACCTGAGTTAAAGACTGCATCTTACTCTTTTACTTTTCTCCCTTCTCTTCTTCCTCTCCATATTCTCAATGGTATGGAAGAACCCTCGAACCCAGTAGCGTATTAATTTTCTTCAATGCTACAAAACCTAAAATTCTTCTAACAGGATATTCACGAGAAACAAAGGAAACGAGTATATGATTATTTGTACTAATTTTATCCTCTTGTACAAGATTTAGAACTAAAGAGTGGAGAACCTAAGTAGACCTTTGTATCAACTTTGGCATCATGAATGCCTAAATCAATCTGGTTTGGTATAATTTTCCAAATGATGCACCATGACATTGACGTGGTGATACTCATTTCCCTTGTTTCTATTGGATATCCTGTTAGAAGAATTATGTCGACCTCACAGATTATGATCGAGTATTTTACAATTTCCACATATGTATATCCTTATGTCCCTTAGTAAGACTCCAAACACATAAAGATGCTCTCTGATATTCTGCCTAATTAGTTTTACAATTCTTGCCTGAAAGAAGTTACAAATCAAATAATTAGCTTGTCGTATTGACGTTTTCATATGGCTCCTTGCATCCGCCTAGAATTTGTATAAATGTCGAAAGTCACTTGTCTGTTACCTTAAAACATGTTTGACTTAGCAGGAAAACCATATATAGCCTGCTCCAAAAATTCTTTGTTAGCTTATGTATTGTTCTGATTCTTCTGAACATGATAAAAAGCCCCTTCAGAAAGCAAACCGAATTTCATTTGCACCATACCATACATGGCTTCCTCTTTTATCGAGAAAAGGACCGGAGTGCATTCTTGAAACTGATTGGCGTAGTACTTTGTGAGATAGAATAAAGATAAGATCTATGGAGCTCAAGGAGCAATCCTGATCTTCAGGAAAGAAGAGAGGATGAAGTAATGAAATATTAGGAAGTCGATATTTGCAAATCATAATCCTCCATGAAATATTCCTTGGTTCCCATAATGCGTTTCATGTTGCCAGTTTTGGTCTCTTAAACAAGCTCTATAATGAACAATAAATCCTTTCGATTTTAAGAGTGTGACTTATGTCTAATTTTGCAAAAGGCCTCAGATGGTATGCATTTGTGTTGATCCTCCCATATGGCTTATTTTAAGAAGATGACATTGCTCCACTTGACACAGCTGGTTACCCGATAGTATCTAATTACCTGTCGTCATCTCATCTTGTGATCTGGTTCCAACTAGAACACGCTATTTTCTATTTAGCAAACTTAAAAATAATCCCTAAATTTATAAAGAACACATTCCTAAGTAAATAATGAATCCTTGTTGCTGAACTTGTTTTATTTCTTGCTATTGTCTGATGCTTACTGACCCCTTTATCGTGGACAATTTCGTCTTCACTGCACAATCTTCTAGGAATTAAAGTTCTGAATATCTTTCCAACTTTTTGTGTTTGATTTCAATATCCTAGTAAAATTTTCCAAGGTATTCTGAGGTAACAATTAGGCAATAGATGATAGAAATGTAAAATTTAAGATATAAATTAGTTAGAAGTGGAGGTTTTGAAAAATTAGAAAGATACGTTTCTGACTAGTTGCAAAATATATGTATTAGTTAGAAAGAGTTTGTTAAGCTCAAGTTAATTTGTTTAGGCTTCCTTGCTATGATATGTCTTGACAGTTTCCCCAACAAGAAATTGGTATCTTGCACAAACCTGGAGGCAACATGTATGACTATCCATACCCGATGCTTACAATCTGTAAACTGCTATTTACCTTAAAAGTTGTATATAAGATAAAAGATGTTTGACCCTTTGACAAAGAGTAATTATCTTATAGATCACTTATTATAATTATGTCCTTTTATATATAGATAGCAACAAACACCCATATTTATATGAGTTAAATATGCATGTATTCAAAAGAGATACATATAGCGGTGTCCTTATTTGTGGAATTTGGATAATAGTTGTGTCGGAGCACGACATTCCTGGCTATGCCGAACTATCATAGGAAGCTTTTGATTCTGTGTGAAGTCTTCGGCAAACTCAAGTTAATATGTCTATGCTACCTTGTTGAGACACTATAAATAGGAAAGGTTCATTGAAACCATGTACCATTTAGTAACCTAGTATCGAAATGGTGTGATTTTATCGGACTTGTCTCTTATATTTTTCATATCTGCTGTGTGCATCCTTGTGCATCTATGAGAATTGAGCGATTTAACTGCATCTTGTTTTCTGCTCCATATAACTTGCTGCACTTGTGCCACATATCGCCATACTTTTAAATTATTTTGCCATTTGTGTCACCAGGCACTTTACGTGATGAATCCAAACAAATTCAGAGCCTGTGAATTTCTGATTCGCTTTCATGAGCAACAACGTGGTGATAAGATTATTGTGTTTGCTGATAATCTTTTTGCCCTCACCGCATATGCAATGAAGCTACGGAAACCTATGATATATGGTGCAACCAGGTATCTTCAGTAACAAGGACTTTTTCCCCTCTTGCATTTTAATTTGGCAACCCTAATAGCTTGTAATTTTTCTTAATAAATGTTTTCAGCCATGCTGAGAGGACAAGAATTCTTAAAGCATTCAAATGTAGCCCGGATGTTAATACAATTTTCTTATCTAAGGTATGTATTCAAACTTGACTATGATATTTGATTCATGTAATTTTTTAATGATAATTTTCCCTTTGTTTCATATTATTGATGTAAATAACTGTCAGCATCCTGGAGTCTTTTTGAGAGTAGCAAGGATAAATTGCAGATCTACATGTTTTTCATAATATAAATATGTAGAATTACTCTAAGGTGCTTCTGTGGAAGCCATTTGTGATCATGAGAGCTCTAATATTGGAGTCTTTAATATTACCAAAGCTTAAGTTTGAGCATATCAATTGAGTAATGATCCAACAATATGTTTTATTAATACTAGTCATGAAATTAGACCTGTGATATTGGTAATGTATGAAAATGGACATAAGAAAAGTTACCATGTGCTTGTTGAAAATTTGTCTTTGTGGTTATAGAATTGTTTTTTTAACTCCAGGCTACTAATTCTTCTGTTTTTATGTGTGCACTTCAGGTGGGTGACAATTCGATAGATATTCCTGAAGCTAACGTGATAATACAAATATCATCTCATGCTGGTTCAAGACGTCAAGAAGCACAACGGCTGGGCCGTATTCTTAGGGCAAAGGTACTCTACTCATGATACCCAACAAGACGTCAAGAAGCACAACGGCTGGGCCGTATTCTTAGGGCAAAGGTACTCTACTCATGATACCCAATTTATTCCATTTAGGGTGTCAAGGAAATATTACGACATAAGGGTGTAAGTTCTGGAGCTGTTCAACATTGAGTTGTTCTTTTATCTTATTGCACACTGATAGGTAGTAAATACTACGTTCTCCAGGATGGAATTATGGTCAGCACGCAGATCCCCAAAATTGGAATCCGTTCAAGCAGCATAAAAGAACTGTCACTATGTTATATAGTTTCAAAAATATTTATCCAAGACAAGGAAACAAATTGATTAATGAGATGCAAAAGAATATTATTGGTTGCATGATTTATGTGTGCACACATGTATATTTTTACATATATGCATGTATTTTCCTGCACTTATGTGATCGCACAACTATCTAGATCAAGGTTTAAAATCGATCTCGATATATTATTGTTGTTGCCTTATAATTTATGGCACCCGTTCTGTTGGTTTTGGATTTGAAGTATTAATTTAGGTCTAGGTGCTTAAAAAAGGTTCAACTAACTAAAAATCTTTCAGATCATTAAATTGTTTGATATGGTTTTTGGAATAATCATTTGGTTCTTATTTTAATGTAACTAGAATTGTGCACGAGCTTTGCACATGGACATGCTATTTCTTTTTTTGCACGTGGGCATCTTGTTTTGCTTTATGTTTTGAAATATTTTTGTTGATTGAATTAATGACTTTTATAACAATTAATTTTTTTTAACTTGAACAATTAAAATATTTATTAAATAAATAAAATTCTGTATAAAGAATTGTATAAATAATTATTATAATTTGGATTATTATTGTTATTTAATCATAATTTATTTAAATATATACAACATATTAGATAACTATTCTTATTTATAATAATTAGCTTATTTGTACATAATTGTTCTTATTTATAATAATTATACATAGAACAATTATAATACTATTAATAGCTATATAATAATTTATGAAATGATTTAATAAATTATTTTATTATACTATTATTATATAATTTATTTAATGGTATAATTGTTAGGAAAAATTGTGTCTAGACCCCAAAATTGGAACCCTATGTGACCACTGACTATACCCTCAACTTTGGGTGATGTTCTTAGGCCCACTGACTCAACTTTTTATTTGAAGAAGTCCCTTTTTAGTGTCGCCTAAGTGGAGAGAAAATATATATTTTTTATCTCGAAACTATCTTCACCTTCAACCTCTTTATCTCCCTTTTTTCTCATGAGACCATGACTTATTTTTTTCTTGTTTTTCGTCAACCATTATCTCTTTCGTCACCACCTCTGCTATTGCATCCTCTTTTTTCATCTCATCCTTTCTTAACCATTGTATTTTTCGCTGTCACGATATCTCCTTTATCATTTTCCTCTTTTCTCAACCATATCTTCTACTTTAGTTGCCGCATCGCTTGAAAGACCGTTTCCTTTGACGAAAACGACCCTCACTTAAAAAATTGCTGAAATTAACATCTAAGTTATATAGTTAACATTTAACAATTAAAGTTTGTGAGACCTAAATTAAAATCTTACAATTTAACTTACCATGTGAGATCTACAGTTAATATCTGACAAATTTAAAGCTTTTATATTAGTTTCTAAAGTCGGATGTTATCTTCAGACCTCACATGTTAACTTTAACTGTTAGATGTTAAATTTAGAACTCACATGCTAATTTTAATTGTTAGAGATTAATATTAACTGTTAAGTGTTAATTTCAGCATAATTTTAGGATATGACCGTTTTAACTAGAGGAGATAGCCTTTTAAGGATGCAACGACAGTTGTGGAGTAAGAAGGAGAAGATTGAGGAGGACAGAGAGGAGTATGGAAGTGAAATAGAAGAGGAGGTAGGGAATGGGAGGAAAAATAAGATGAGATGAAGAGATGAGGAAGGAGGAGGGTGAGTGGAGGAGGAAGGAGGACGAGGGACGAGGGAGGAGGATGGAATTGAGATGAAGGGGAGAGGAGGAGAATGAGGCTGGGTGAAGGGTAGAGGAGAAGGAAGGAGGATGCACGGAAGAGAGGAGGGTGAGGTGGGAGGGCGGAGGTTGGTGGAGGATGGAGGTGGGACGGAGAAAAGGAGAGGGAGGATGGAGGTGGGTCTAGATGAGGAGGAATGAGGAAGAAGATAATGATATTTTAGTAGTGAGAGAAAAATATGAGTTTACAAGGATTTTTTTCACATGAAAAATTGGGTCAAAGAGGCCTAAGCACATGACCCAAAAGTTTCACACGAAAAATTGGGTTAGCGGGACCTAGGCACATGACTCAAAAGTTAGGGGCTAGGTCACATGAAGGTTCTAAACTTAATTTTGGGGTCTAGGCACAAATTTTCGTAATTATTAAATAGTAGTGTAATTATTAATTTAATTATTACTATTAAGATAATTATACTATTAATACTGTTATAATTATGATAAATACAAATTGTCTTTCATACTATTATAAGACTAATATTAGAGGCAAACTATTGAAGGCAAGGCATAGGCCCGAGGCATGAGGTATATAAGCCTCATGCATTTTCATTATTCTTAATTTTTAGAATTATAAATATTATGAGAAGATAAATTATAGGTAGATTTTCTATTATATTATTAAATAATAGTCTAATAGTGAATGACTAATGGTTTGGAAAAATGAGAAGTTGCGTAGTTAATTAATAAGAGGTTGTTTGTAATCAGTGAATGCTTAATTACAACTAATAGACATAATTAGGAATTGCTAAACTTGAGAGGGCAAACAAGGCAATCAAAAGCTTTAATGTATCTATCCTCTTTTATAAGTAGTATAGATATTCTGTAACACTGTATGGTGAAAATCAAAAGCTTTAATGTATCTATCCTCTTTTATAAGTAGTATAGATATTCTGTAACACTGTATGGTGAAATATTAACTACATAATGTACACATTGATATTTATAAGTAGTATAGATATTCTGTAACACTGTATGGTGAAATATTAACTACATAATGTACACATTGATATGAATTTTCCTAGTTTTTGACAAATAAAGTTGTTATAGTGTTGGTCTGTCATAGGGCTTGAAATGAACCGAATTGAATCATATACTAAGGTGTTCATATTTGTATTTGTTTAATTTGAATATCCATTTCTAGAGTTTCTCGAATTCAAAGTCGGATACTCTGTATTTGGTAAATATTCACGAATAGTTATCGAATATTAAAGTATATTGATTTTGCTAAAGAATTTGATTTTCAAATATTATTTAAATTTATAATTAAAAAAACATTCCTTTATAATTATGATGTATCTATATTTAATTCGGATATTTTGTTAGAAAGGTCATTAAAGAATTTTTAGGTCTCTCAGAATTAGTATATAGAACTTAAATAGAAAATGAAAGTTAGTTGAAAATATAATATCGTGTATTTAGTAGTACAAATTGTAAGCGATCAAATTCTAAACGAATATTTGATAAGCAAATGAATAGAATATACTTGCAGTTAAATTCTATTCCTTTATGAACTTGAATACTAAAAATACTTTGTTTATTGTTAAATGAACTACCGAATGGGATATGACCGAATAGCTTCTCGAACAATTGACAAACTATTTGTTAATTATTTGGTTCCTAACCACCCTTGGTTGGTGAATGACTTGTCTTCCCTGCAGGGTCGGCTCCAAGACAGAATGGCCGGTGGAAAAGAAGAGTACAATGCCTTTTTCTATTCTCTAGTATCTACAGATACACAGGTTGGGTTACTTTTGAAGGCTTATTCCAATTTATGCTAGAATAAATAGTGTCCACTTCTTATTTCATTGTTATGATAACTGTGTGCATAACTGTATTTTCATGCTTTATGTGAAATTAGGAGATGTATTACTCTACCAAAAGGCAGCAATTTCTGATTGACCAAGGCTACAGCTTTAAGGTACAAAGTCTATTTACTCTATTAGCTTTACTTTTCTTAATGTTTACCTTTTCAGTGTACAGCTTTAAGGTACAAAGTCTATTTACTCTATTAGCTTTACTTTTCTTAATGTTTACCTTTTCAGTGCGTCTAATAGAGGACAAACTTCTCTTTTTGTAATTTATGTAATTGTCTCCATTTTCTTGTTGTTAAAATTTGTTACCTTAATCTATTACTTGTCCTCTAGTGCACGCCATGCACAGTGTTGCTAAAGGCGCATGCCTCATTGCGCCTTATCCTCCCTGCAATGTAGGGTGATGGCAAAGCACTCTACCTCTGGATTCGTCAGTGCTTTTTTGTGTCTCGCATGTGCCCTTCATGAGGGCACTTCGCACAAGGCGCATGCAAGACATAGCATCATATATTTTTGTTCTTTACCATTTTAGTCGAGCCTTTATACCGGATAATCCTTATCCCAAAAAAAAAATAATAATAAAGTCATTAGGCCATTTTACTAGACCCATTGAGGACCCTAACTCATTCTCATTTAATATTTGATTTTTCTTCGATGTTAGTGTCGATTTGACTTTTGGTTTGGAAAATTATGAACTTTACTACTACGTTGGCTGTGTTAGCGTTATGAATTAAGATCTTATTTTTATTATTTAATAGTAGATATTATTTTCTTGTTATATTTTTATGTGAAAACTCATAAACTTGTTCATTCATGCTTTAGATTGTCTATCTTGAAAAATTGTGGGTGATGTGCGCCTCATTTCACTTGCGCATGCACATCGCCTTGCGCCTTGCGCATGTGCACGCAAGGAGACTTTGCATCCTGCATTGCACATTGTGCATTGATAACGTTGCGTGATGTGTGCGTAACATAAAAGGGGAGATGCTGACGTGGTGAAACATGTGGAGGTGTTGAATGTGTACTTTCACGTTGTGATTTTTTAGGGATATTTGGTTATGAGCGCATATTCTTGGATTTTGAACATACAAGGATAAATTTTGAATATTGGAGAGGATGAGGGCTATTTTTATTGTGAGAATATTTTTTGGTCGTGAGAGTATTCTTCTGATTTTGTAAAGCGTGAGGGTACTTATAAAATATTAAATTGTAAGGACATGGTCGAAAGCGTGACTCATATAGGTGTAGAACACCTAAACGTAGCTTTTCTTAAATAATAGTTGTAATATATTATGCGTACAGGTGAAAAACCGTAATTATGGAGTTGATTTAATATATGCTATATGTTAGTATATAACTGTATACTGCAACTGTTGCGTAACTGATGAGATTATGTAGCCTTTTTGATAGTTAAGGAGATTTTATTTTGATGACCTTGGTAATGTTTCATACCTTGCTTATGTTTTATCAGGAAAAAAGCTTTTTCCCCCTCCTACCATCTGACTATCAATCCAATCCATTGATTTTCCCTGGTCTGGCTCCACGGAACAGACTCCGCTGAGTGCTTTCTTTGTGTTTATTATTGATCTCATACTGGAGCCATTCGATCCTGACATGTCTATAACTTCCTTCAAAGGGGTCATTTAAATGTTGTTTTCATTTTACCGTATCTTATTTGGTGTGAAGCCATTTTGATTCTGCCATGTCAAGTTCTCTACTTATGGAGAATTTCTATTAACATCAGCATTTTAACAAGATTTCAATAGAATGCTAATGAAATGAAACCCAACAAGAAGAACTTGTTTTAATAGGGGCTGCCTACTGTACATGTATGTACGGTGGGTGACATGTACCCTATGGTCTCAATTTTAGGATAAGATATACTTTGTTACTTCAATCATGTAAATTTTTTTGTCTACTTCAATCATGTAATTTTTTTTGTCTTTTCGAACTATGCCTTTAAAACCACGTTGTCTTGCAGGTGATCACGAGCCTTCCTCCTCCTGATTCAGGATCTGAGCTCAGCTTCCATACCCTACAGGAGCAACTTGACCTCCTCAGCAAGGTTGGTCCTCTCAAATTCCGTCTCTGTATATTTTCCCATACACTTAAATTCTTTAATTCTGCCAAGTTATATAAATTGATTCTTTTGTGGTATTAGGTATTGAGTGCTGGAGATGATGTGGTTGGCTTGGAGCAGTTGGAAGAAGATGCTGATGACATTGCTCTACAGAAGGCCCGACGTTCTGTGGGATCAATGAGCGCTCTATCAGGAGCTAGCGGGATGGTGTACATGGAGTACAAGTATGAGATTTCCTTTGTTTCTATTTCTTTTGGGTAAATTTATCAAACCCCCCTGAACTTTAAGAGGTGGTGATTTGAACAACGGGCGGAACTTTATAAATCATAGAAAAACCTCTATGAACTTTTATTATACTAAGCCTTCTGGAAATTAGGAACACTCATAGATAGCATTAAGGGACTGAGTAAAAAGCCCAAGACTACGCTGTTCAATTTCTTACCTAACCTTTTGTCCGAAAAGGTAATATAAAAATTATATTTATCAGCTAGATGTAAAATCCTACAAAAGCCCTGCACTTGACAATTTGAGGTAATTGTCGTCAGTCAAGGTGCTAAGTTAGAGAAGTTTAGGGGTATTTTATGATTTATAAATTTTAGGGGGAGTTTATGCAAAATTTCAAAGTTTAGGGCTTTGTGAAGTTTACCCTTCATTTTCTTACCCGTATATATTTCTTTTCAATCGTTTCCTTTCCTTTTTTTTATCTTCCTGCTTATGAATTCAAATCCTCTTTTATTGGCAGTACTGGCCAAGGCAAGAAGGGCCATGGCAAGAGTAAACCAAAGGACCCGGCAAAGAGACACCATTTGTTTAGGAAGCGCTATAGCCAAGCCTAGAGAGATTGTCGTCTTGCTGGAGTAAACTCCATTGCATGAAGCACTGAAATCGGATTCTAATTTCTAAGTGCACGCTTTTCTAATTGCTCTCGTCATATGCATATGCAATCTTTTGTCGATCAGGCTTGTGAGGGAAAGATGTGTGTATCTTCACTTCAACACGCATGAGAAGTTTTGGTTGGTTGGGCTTTGGCGTAAGGCATCCTGATGCGGAGAATGGCTGGTAAATTCGGCCTTGTAAATATTTTACAGAGAGAGATCATGCGTATCTTAGCTTATAACGCTGCACAAATGTAACTTGAAAAACCCATGTTTACGACCGAAGAAGTTTTTGTTCTACAGATACTTAATTTGTTTATCCAGCCTTTGCTTGGGGAAAAAAGACTACTTTTAAGGAGCCTCGGTTCTTTTTTGCGTCTGGGGTATTTATACTAGTGTATTGTGTCTAAATCTAGATTCAAGTCGAAATTTCCCAACAGCGGTTCAGGCCCTGCACAGATCACTGCAACGCTGCCTGTGCGCGTACGCGGCATTTTTTTCAACTCCGTAAGACATCGGTTCAGCCCTGCACAATGGATATGTGAACCGACCTATATCGACCCGCTCATCTATGCGATCTTACTTTTATGTTGATATGATTGAGTTAGCATGAGGGGCAAATTGTTCAACTCTTTTTTTTTTTTGGGGATACGATGTCAACGATTATGGTTATGAGATACTAAGATAGAAAGTTATTCAACTTTTTCGGTACAAGTTGGCTCGCTATTTTTCATGCCCTAACTTGAGGGCGGGAGGTGGAAGATCAAAAAATTCCTTGTCTATTATTAGATGATGTTTTATTATTTGTTATTACTTTTGCTAAGAAGTGTCTGTATGCAATGTATTAGTTAAATATAGCGTCTAATTAGGACATTCCTTTATTTAGGTTTCTTTCTCTATTGGAGTTTACTTTTATAGAAATTTTATATCTTATACTATTATAAAAGCGTATTGCATGTTAAATTTTTTCCCCCCTGAAAATGCCATTCAGAACACATATATGCATATATAGAACACATACATGCAACATAAATTACGTACATAAATATAAAGAGGCATACCCCTACAAATCCTTCTCATAACCCCTAATTAAATTGAATTTGATAAGTAAGCCACCAAATTGCATTCGCTGCTTTTAAAAAAAATAGAATACAATAAGAAAAAAAGAAAATAAAAGAATCAAACCAATATTTTCTTTTGTCTATTGAACATTGCTAACGTGCTTAACGACTCAAGTAAGATATAAAAATCATTATATCCTTTAAAATAAAAGTACAGTGGGTAAATCCAGTTGGATAAAAACCATCGCTAACATGCTAAATATTTAAGCATTACATCATTTGAATAAATCATCAAGTAGATAAAAATCATCACACGAGAAATGTATGCGATAATGATTTGTTCTGCTAATGCAGCACATCAAGCAAGGAGTGCATATGAAGAACGCATCAAAGAAATGTTTCTCCTTCTCTTTCTTTATACAGGGTTGATTTGTCGCAAAAGTTTACTCCAAAAAAAGTCTACGATGCACTTCTGTTTAAGCCTTGAAATCGTTCAGTACTGTTACTCTCGAATCTATCAATAAGTAATCCGACACCTTCAACCCACAAAAAAAAAAAAAAAAAAAAACTTAAGTATAGTTATATAAGGACTACTTTAGAGCATCTCCAACAGCTTCCCCAAAATTTTCTTCAAAATGGAGAAACAAAAGTCATATTCTTCAAATTATTTTTGCTCCAACTCCAACAGCTTCCCCATTTTGAAAAATCGCATTTATTACAATAATAAAGCTCTCCCCAAAAATTTGGAGAATGCTGCAGATTTGGGGAAGGCTCCCTATTTTTTCTCCTCATTCCCTATTTTGGGGAATGGGATGGGGAATCTGTTGGACCAAAAAACAGCTCTATATTCCCCAAAATTGAGTATTTCAAGAAGATGGGGAAGCTGTTGGAGATGCTCTTACAACCTATAAGTAGTGGGTGGTTATGTGAGTACAAATTAATTGAGTTAGCATGTTGGTCGTTCCTAGGAGTGATAAGATGTGGGTTTTCCATAATTCTATTGTAACGAGGTTTCCAATGATCATGGAGAATGTTATTTTGTTAATCGGAGAGGATGAATTGTCCCTCTCCTCTCAAGTCTTATTAGTAGTTGTAACAACCGTAAATTATGATACGTATTTAAATATTTTTTTCCTAGTATTTAAAATATTAAATTTTAACTTATTACTTTTTTCCCAAATTTATGGAATTTTTATGAGTTTTCAAGATAAATAAATAAATAAATATATTCCCATAATCTTCATTTTCCCTAAATTTTCTCTCATTTTGAATTCCTACCATATTTTCCCCCTAATTAATTCGCTAATCAAATCCCAAATCATGATCAATTATATTGATACCTCCCTAATGTTTACTCCCGTGATCAAATCTCCTCCTCTCTTTCTCAAATCTTTTTCAAATCCCATAAATTTCTCTCTCCCCCTCTAAATACATATCATAAACCCTAACCCTATCACATCAATAGCCGTCACCAGCCCTCACCCATTTTCTCTCTATATATATTCTTTCCTTTATTTTTCACGTGAGCACCAAAAAAACCAGCAACCTCCATCATCTCTCTTGTTCTCCTCTCTCTCTTCATCTCGTTCTCTCTCCTCCCCCCAAGAGAACTCCGGCCACCCAAGCCCTCTCCGTCCAACTCCCCAACGCCCCAACCCGCCGCCGGTGGATCCGCCCACGCCGCCGTCTGCACCTCCTCTCTGACCCCCCGAACCAAGCTCTCAGATCCGAGCTCTCCGTCAGCTCCATACCCGAACTCTGACCGCCTTGCCTCAGATCCAAGCCACCAGCCGCCTCCTCCGACCATCGCCATAGCTCACCCAAGCCCCGCCTCTCCCCTCGTTACACCACGAACCCCAGCCGCCGCTTCGCCTGAGTCACCGCCGGCACCCATGCTCTCTCTCTCTCGTTCTCCCCTGCCTACACCACCATCACCACCACCGAACCCCATCTTGACCTCCACCAGATCCCGCTGTCGTGCCGCATCACGTCGTTCGCCCGCTCACCTCCAACTCTTCTCCTGACCCGAGCTCGACCACATCATCCTCGACGACCAGCCTTCGCTCACCAATGTAGGCGTATAAAAATGCCTATAGATATGAATATCCCTATCTAAGTTAGAGGAAATCATCCAAAGCCAAAAGAAGCAAAGGAACATGTGAAACAACATAGAAGAACAATATGAACACCCACAAAGAAGCAAAGGAACATGTGAAACAACATAGAAGAACAATATGAACACCCACGACAAGAAACACTGACGTGCATTTGCGCGGTAGTGGAAGGTGTTGTGCACACAAACAGAGTGATATTCCTATGGGAATTTATAGATCTCTTCGATAGCTTTCCAACGCATCTTGGATCACCTCATTCCGACATCGGACGAGGAAGTTAGAGCCAAAATACCCGAGAGGTCGCAAACTACATCGAAGGTGCGCGGCAGTGTACACTGCCGCGGCAACAGCGCGACAGTACAAGGTGTCGCACAAATAAATATAGTAAAGCGCCAATGGGAACTTGTAGAGCTCTTCGATAGCTTTCCAACGCATCTTGGATCACCTCATTCCGACATCGGATGAGGAAGTTAGAGCCAAAATACCCGAGAGGTCGCAAACTACATCGAAGGTGCGCGACAGTGTACACTGCCGCGGCAACAGCGCGACAGTACAAGGTGTCGCACAAATAAACATAGTGAAGCGCCAATGGGAAGTTGTAGAGCTCTTCGATAGCTTTCCAACGCATCTTGGATCACCTCATTCCGACATCGGACGAGGAAGTTAGAGCCAAAATACCCGAGAGGTCGCAAACAGCATCGGAGGTGCGCGGCAATGTATACTGCCGCGGTAATATATTGCACATTTAAGTCATGATATGATCCAAATCTGAAGAAGCTCAAAAGACAAAAGTTGTAGATCTCTTCGTCAGCTTTCCAACGCATCTTGGATCACCTCATTCCGACATCGGATGAGGAAGTTAGAGCCAAAATACTCGAGAGGTGCATAGCAGTGGTAACTGCCGCGGCAATGCGCGACACCACGTACTGTCGCGGCCACTGGGAAGCTGAACACGTCATTTTTGACAGTTTTCTCGAGTTTTGTGCAGCCCACATGGCTTATTAACTGCTGGGGGTCACTTATGAACGTGGGAGAAGCAGTTACAAGCGAAAATCATGCCCACTAACCTCATAAAAAGATGGTATTTAAGTAGTGGGACGGCGGTTACAAAAGAGGGCTGATTAGAGAGCATCCAAAAGAGGGCTGATTAGAGGGCAGCCAAGAGGACTGAACAGAGAGCATTTTAGAGCAGAAAAGGCTTAAGCTTTTGGTGAATTAGAGCAAAAGAGAGAGTATTCCTTCTTCACAAACATCTTCAAGAAGCTTTTGGCGATTCCTAGAGATCTAAGCTCTGACTTGATCTTTAGAAGAGTGAACATCTTACATCGATAAGATATTTGCTTCAAATTCTTACTTCGATAAACGAAGGAAGAATCATTAAACCCCTCACGGTTCAATCAGAATCTGTGATTTGGTGGTCCACGAGTCATAGCGCTCCCGGCACAGGCAAAGATCCCACGCAAGCAGCGATCCAAACAACGATCCTGCGTTTGTTTCTAAAAAGTTGTAATTTTCCTTTTGTTGTGTAAAAGAAGTCTTATAAAAAGACTATCTCTTTTGAATTTGTTGTAATCGACCGAAGATATAATGAATTTTATAACAAAACCAACTTTTGACGCAAACAAACTGGCGACCACAGTGGAAAGCTGTCAAAAGCTCTTAGTCCCCATCGAACCCGTTGAGCCCCTTAGTGATGACAACCGTCGTCGGCGCCGTCCCCAAATATCGCCATCCCCCTCGACGGCAAGCATTTTTGTCTTGCTCTTTGTTGCATTCGTTCTTATTATTTTTATGCAAGCATTTCTATCCTTTTAGTATTTCATAATCAGCTTATTCGATTATTTGATCTGAAATGAATGGATAACAGGAAATAATTGATTGAAGTGTTACTCCTCATAATTATGGATACATTACAAATTAATCTATTAAGTGTTACTCCTCATAATTATGGATACATTACAAATTAATCTATTGATAGTGAGTATAGTTAAATGATGGTGCTAAAGCTATTTATTCTTTTGACGACGTCTGGATTGATAAAAGCACCAGTTGTCTTTGTAGACTTGATAATCAGTGTTTAGGTTTACTTGGATATATTTGTAGGGCTTCATTGATGATATTTTTGGAATTTTGTAAGAGTTGGAAATACTGTAAGGGTCAAAGAAAAACTAATTTGTGTTTTA